TGTTGAAAACGCGCCAATTAAATTCAATTACAATAAATAATAGATGGACAAAAGGCTATAAATACTGTAGAAAGAGGAACTCATAAACTTGATAAATCGACTTAATAATGGAATTATATGGAGTTATGACAATGATATTCATGAATCGATGAAAATGATCAAAATTCATTTTGATTAGTAAGCCTGACATACCCAGACAAAAGACCTAGTCTGATATGCGTGAACGAATTACCTTCGCTATACTAAAAAATCAATTTTATATATTAAATCCAAATTTATTTGTATTCAACCAGCATCATCAGTATTCAAATTTGTTTTTTAAATCTTTGATTACTGAGAAAACTCACACAGAACAGATCTGCTCTATCTCAACTCTATATAAGTAAACTCTTTTTATCCAGATTAGTCATAATATAAATACATTGTTTATATCGAAGTATAAACAAAACTTTCTTTGTCGAGTTATATGAACATCGTTGTGCAAATAATTCTCAGAATAAAGTCTATATTGAATTTTAAAATATTTTTTTTAAGTATTCGGATGAATGATTTGCAAATATAAAACAAAATTGTTGGGTATTGGATTCGCTAGTAAACTACGGAAATTAGTCGAAGTGTTTTTATAAAATTATTAATAACCAGTATACTATGGTCATCAAATCGAACCATGACGTGTATATTCGTCACATGTATACCAGAAAATGTATAGATCTGGCTAAATATTGTATAAAATATTGGAATTAAAAAATACTTACATATTAAACAAAAAGTGCACCTAAAAAAATCATACAACAGAAATAATTTTACTAAACGAACTGGAAATGATTTTCAATCAGGACTCGTGGGATCTTCTCATGTTTTATTTGTTTGGTTTATTAGAACATAGCCTCAAAATATTGTAAACATCTTAAAATTTGAGAATATATTTGTTTATCTCAAAAATTGCGATTTAACTAGCCAACAGTAACGTGTGACAATGCATAAAATTTTGCCACATTGAACTACGAAAATTTACAAAACCAGCCTGAAATAATATATATATATATATATATATATATACATATATATTTATATATATATGTATAGGTAAAATATTCTAACATATGATTATTATAAGGAAGGCGAATATGAAGATAGAAATATCTCAGTCAGTATTATATAAATCCAGTTTGTAAGCCAAGGTCAGCCACAAGTTGGTTATGCTATCAATGTTTTTTGTAATAACAAAAAAAATATGTCATAGAATCTTTGATCAGAAAATTTATCAGTTTGTTCGGCAAAAATTAAAAAAAAACAGTATTGATAGTATTGACACACATACCGTTTGTACATAGCTAATAATAATCGAGTCAAGCTAATAATAGATATGAATGATGAATTGGTTAACATGACATGGTAACAGTATTTTTTGTCTAACAAGTATTTTGTCTTCTTGAATATTATCATTTTTAATTATTTTAAATGTATTTTGTAGCTAAATTTGAATTCCTAATGTGCAAAACACACCAGAAACTTGTAAATACTTTCGACATATTTTTAGAAGCAATTTTATATATAAAATTATAAATATACATTAATATAATATTTTGCTATATTTTATGAGATATCTCAGCCTAAACGTATGGATTTCTAATAAATTTAAAAAAAATATTCATATAATTTTTAATTGATAACAAAAACAATATATATATATATATATATATATATATATATATATATATATGATATATATACAATGATTTAAATAATTTATAAAGTATTCTATTGTTTCTTAATATGATAAATTATTATACTATGCACTTGACAAGCTGAGCTAATACAAACAGAAATCTATTGACCATGAAATTGCATCTTTCTAATGATTAAATTTTGAAATTAATTGTTTTCAAGGTTATAAAAATGTATTAGGATAATTGATGATGGAATGATTTTAATGAAATACGCATATATTGCATAATAATATAAGAAAAACATCATAATACTGTGATCGTGTAAGATAGTTCTATATTTTCTTAAAAACCTTCGTAGGCAGATTACATATTGAATATAATGAATAGAAAAAAAATTAATATTTCCTATTAATTTTAATTTTAACTTACACTAATTTAGTATGCATGAATTTCTTTTGTTAAACAATTTATATGTTTTTTAAAGATAAAAATAAACACACAATAGATGAGTAGAATTATCACTATAGTGTGAGAAAAGTTTTACATTTTTTTGGAAACTCTTTTTGGCTGACTTATATTAATATTTTATAATAAATATTTACATATTTGCTTTCAATTTTGTTTTATACGTAGTCAAGTATTTTTTTTTGCAAGGCAAACCATATATAGCATAACCATATATAGCACAATGATAGAGTAGAAGCCACAATCACAAATATGTGATATTGATAAATCTTCACAACCGTACCCGGTCTACAATTATGAAAATTGTAGGGGCTACTATTTTAAGTATCTGTTATCCTAGGAAACATGACGTCAATAAAAATTTCATCAATCTACTCATAGAATACTCTACATTTTATTTAACTAACGTCGCATTTTCCTGATTTTTCTTTAATAAGGAGCCATATTTTATCATTTTCTACTTTCCTTACGACAGTTATATCACTTCTAATCCTATCTATTTTCTTCTTATAAAAAAAGCCATTAAATTTGTCTCTTTAAAGTCTATCAAAAATCAATGCGGTCTACAGATCGTGTTAATGTAGGGCGCTAACTCAATGCAATAACGTAAACTTGTTCTAACAAACATACTTCACCTTCATTCCATTGAACCCTATCTCAATATTAATTAATTATAGATGTTTATGACTACAGTCACTACCGTAACCTGTCTTCCATGAAGACTTAATAATAAAGAATTTAAGAATTAGGCTACATTGCAAAGTATCCATTATCCAACGAAATGACTATAAAAATTCCATCAAGCCCCTAACTGAATCCTTTATATTGTAAGTGTCAAAGATGACATTTTCCCGATTTTTCTTAATTAAAAAACCATATTTCATCCATTTCCCAATTTCCTTGCGACAGTTATCCCACGCTCGCCGTCCAGCGGTCCATATGGCGTTTCGCCTCAGAACGTGCACTGAATCACCTGCGAAGGTGACGCAACGTGTGCGCGGGCCGCCGACCGAGTTGCGATACTACGAGGACTGCGAGTCAACATTACATAGGCGCCACGATCCGCGCATGCAAGTGTTCGTTTTCTTTGACCATATTAAGACAAGAGACGAGAGACGACGGATGGTCAGGTCTCGTCTCCGAATTCAATGGAATAACGCGGTCAATGGGAATTGATTGATTGATTGAAATTTGATTTGTGTTGGAGTACTATTGTTTTGATTGCATATGAATAGGGTGTAAATTAGTGGTGCATGGTAATGTGCTATGAGGTTTATTGCTAAAACTTCTACAGTAATTAATTATCCACAATTTTTTTTAACTCTGTTTTATTTAGCAATCAGAAATATAGAAAGATTCCTATGAGCTAAATTGACAATATTACGAGCGATGCCTTAGAAGAACTCCAATGAGATCTTCTCAGTTTGTCAATTAATATGATAATATATTAGACCTAATGTAAGACTAACGTAGACCTAATCTAAGACGTAATGTGAGTCTAAAGGCCAGTGTCGTATCAATCTCCTTATGCCAAAAGGTTGAGTAATGTCAACTATTGATGGGTTCGAATGTGAGTCCAGTTTGCGTTTGTATTTTTCCTTAAATTCTTGTTAATTGCACCGTTTTCATGTTGAGGTCGCTGTGAATGGTTTCATTTGTCACGGACCACGGAGAATTAAGAATTGTACGTAAATTTTTGACTGAGTCTGCATTATAGCTATATTTGATTTGTAAGCACATCCCCAGAGCTCAATTCCGTAGGTCCAGATTGGTTTAATGATTGATTTATATAGCAGCAACTTATTTTCAACAGAGAGCTTAGAATTTTTACGCAGTTATCCACAATAATAAAAGTTTTCTGTATTGGATGTGCGGCATACGTTTTCCAATGTAGTTTTTACAGCTAATCACGAATATAATGTTAAATTGAGGGTCAAATGGCAAAATATTGAAATAAATTTAAAAAAAACAACAAAAATTAAAAAAAAAATCTACAGGATACTTAAAATCTTATAATTTTTCCGATTGAAATGAAGTCGAAATTCGATTTGTGGGCGCAATATGGTTGAGCTTGTAGAGAACCAATTTGCTGACTATTGAAAGGCTTGGAAATGTTCTTTGCGCTTTTTGAGAGTGTCATAGTATTTCTGGAAATTACAGATAAAAATGGATTATTATGATTTTTGTATCAAATTCTATTGATTGAAAACAATATTAATTTTCTTTCTATTACACAACAATTTTTTTTTCTATTATATAACTTGAAATATTCTGGTATTAAATAGACAGAATTACTGATACATGTGTATTAATACAAGTATGAAATTCTAAGCAATTTTTAAATAATAGCTGATATCATATTTCATAAATAATACGATATCAATTTTCAGTTGTGATATTGTGTTTCTGCATCCTGATTAATAAGCATTAAAGTCAATTGAAATATGAAGTAATAATAGTAATAATATACATGTAAAAAGGATTTAATTATATATATATATATATATATATATATATATAAATTTAGTGACAGAGCCTTATAATCCCACATAACATTATTAAAAAACATGAATTATTCAAAATTTATTAAAAAGTCCTGGCTCATCATCACTAAATTATTAAAGTTCTAAAATTCTTTAAAAATAATGATATCATTTAAATAAAGATTTTTTGAATATATTTTAATTTATTCGGCTTGTGTAAGCTAAAACATTGATTTTATTAAAAATTGAAAAAAAAAACAAAATTTAATGATGGTTCAGTTTTATATTACGTGCCAAAAATGACGCACCTGCACAATTCTGTTTACTGCCCTATATTAGAATAATTAAACTCCAAAATTAATAAAATTATTTTAATTTTTAGGAAACAAAAATACGTCACGAGGCGAACAGATGGACCAAAAGTCTGATCAATGGTTTGGAGCAACTTTGAGCAGTGTTGGAGTAAATGGACCAGTTGTGGTAAGTCCTAAGTTTTTAGATATGCAACATATAATTCAATTATATTTGGTAGCTATTTTCAAGATACATAAAAATCTCTTGATTTGCGGAATCCTGAGTATTTTACTACCCAGGTAACAAAAAACCTGCAATACCGTATTACCCATGAGTTATCAAGTTAACGTTGGCGAGAAGATCGTAAATTACATCCGAGCAATATGTAAATTTATTACACTGTTATTATACTCAACTATCTACATTTACCCTGGGAAATAAAGTATCACTTAATATCAATATTTTTAAGCGAAACCTGCTGAACATATACATTATAACACATGCCTTAAGATTTTTAATAAAATGATTCATGGCTTGACATAAGCGGTTGTTTGACAAGTTGTAATGAATCATATATACACCATCAATTTATAATTGACTAAGTCTCTGGCCATAATCGAATAACAGGCTTTAAGTACATATTGAATTAATATTGTGGAGAAAATGATAAGTGTTAATGATTATGAAGTGTTAAATTGTTGAAACGTAACATTAAAGGATGAATTATAGTATTTGAACTTGAATTATGGGATACCTGTGGTTTATTAGTTGGAATTTTTCGAACGATTGGATTGGTGTAATAACAACTATTAGTTGTAATGATATTGTTGATCGAAGTATTGTATAAACCGTACTTTGAAATATTGCAATTTTATTATATTAACAGTAACTCTAACCTAAATTATATTCATATATTATTTTAATATCTATAGCAAATACTCTACATAGTTATCAAATAATTCCCAAAATATAGAATAGCTGAAACTAAATCTGAAATTCGTGATATTTATATCATTGAATTATGCGTAAATATTATTATACAAAAATTATATTTTATCTAAAGTAATTGGACTTCAAATATTGTACATGTATTAATGTAATACCTAAGCAAATTCCCACAATAATTATATAACAATTCGCAAACTTTGAAAGAGCTGAAATTAAATTTGTAATAACTATAGTTCTTCAAATTATTTGTCCTCGAAGTAAAACGTATCTCATAAATGCACTTTTCATAAATAGAGATAAGATTTATATTCAAATAATCTAATTTTATGCAATTTATACCTAAAAAAATTATGTTGTTCGTCCATTAGGAATAATTGTTACATATATGTTACGTATACTTACGTACTTATGCATTGCAATTACATGTATGAAGAATATATACATTACATTCACGTAACAGTTGCATAAACATACGTTGCAATTGTTACATATTAGCTACATATAGAATTAATATTGTGTAGGAAATAGTTAATGATTATAAAGTGTTAAATTAATGAATTGTAACTACACAGTATAAATTACAGGTATTTATACTTAAATTATGGTATCAGTATTATTATTTAGAAATTCTCAAACGATTGATGTAATAATAACACCCGTTATTGTAATAATATTGTTGATTGACGTAGTGTACGAGTACATGTAAATTGGAATGCAATTTATTATACAGAGTTTTTAAATAATGAAATAATGAACTTATTTTTAATACGAAAAGTTGCATACTGTTGCAATTTGGTTTCAAGAGTCACATTCTTATATTTCTTTAAGAATCCAAGAAATCAAGAATAGGACTATTTAGAAAAAAACTATCAGCAGAAGAGTATATTTTTACCTGAGATATGTCATTAAGCAAATATAAATTCTCGATTAATTGCATGATACGTCTCTGTTATGAATCTAATTCTCAATTAATACAATTCTTGGTATTGGTATTTAATTAATAACATTGAACAGTAAAATCTATACATAATATCAATAATTATTTTCTACAACTAATTATTTATAACAATATGATTTTTACTACCTCATATTGTTCCAGAACACAATTGGTACATGTCGAATGAATATGCGACTATGACTTTCTATAATCCAAGATCAGAAAATCTCATAACCGTATTTCATTGTATCAGAGATATAATAACATGTATTGTTATAATAATAATAATAATAATAAAGAAAATAGCGTATACATCAAAATAATGAATTGCTGATGACAAGAAGCATTAAAAAGAAATATTGTGAAAAATGGGTAGAAGAAACGTGTTTGGTGCAACAAAAGAGTAAAGACATTGAGAGATGACTTTATGAAGAAACATTTTGAAAAAAATACTGTATATATTATCAGACTAAAGAAGTTATAGAATAATGGGAATAACTTGTTTTAAAAATTTGAATGTTTAGTCAGAATACTTGTTCAAGATTAGAACAATTTCAAGAATGTTCCTAGCATTTTGAGGTTTAAATATATATAATTGTTTAGAAAATACCTTACTTAGCAAAACAACGTTTGCCGGGTCAGCTAGTACATTTATATCTATATATATATACACACACATATATATATATATATATATATATATACTTATACTATGTATATTTAACACGTTGCTTTTTATGTAGTTTTTAGTAAAACTGATATTAAATGAGGGTCGTGCCTAAAACATTTCAACTTTTTCATTCAACACTTTGATCGACTATCAAACTTTGTGTGACACATCTGTTTAAAATACATATTAATTCTCACGAGCAAAACACTTTTAGTTTTTTCAATTAACTGGTTAGGTAGAAGTGGAGAGATGACATTTTAATTTTTCCACGCCCAGAAAAAAACTTTTAGACAAAACCACCCAACATCAAATTTGTGATAGATAGATAAAGTGGTATCAAATTTTTAATTTGCTGAGTTTATTTGTCAAATCTCTCAGTTATCAATGAAGTTCTCAATCAAACCATCTATTGGCAACAACTGCTATTAATATTATTTAAAAAAAAATCTTCGTAATGATCTTGTCTAATTTGTTATCCACAATTGAATATCATAGATCTGATGTGGTTTGGATTGGTAAAATTAAACTACTGGGATTCTTTTTTTACGTAATTTTATAAACCTGATAAATATCGTGTTATTTAAAATGTCGAATTAACATATCAATACAAAGTGCTCTAAATGCAAAATTCTAATTTATTATCATTTCACGCGTGAAAAAACCATGGCGTGTCCATTGTCATATATTATTATACTCTATATTCAAACGGCGTAGGTATTGTAATAAGTTGACATGATACAATGACCTGGTGGAGTTGTCATCGAGGAAACTCGGTAATATTTTATTCCATATTATATACTACCATATATGTGGACAATTTCGACCACCCACATTTAATAAGACTTGATTCCTAATCAACATAATGCGCAGAAGTAAGGCAACGCCTTCTATCCATGCCTCGACAATAGAAAATTTTTTTTAATTAATTAAAATTTATATAATTCAATTTAGTAGTTAAACAAACAAAAGAGGTTTTTGTAAATGAAACATGTAATTTTTTATGGTCTGGTAGGTGTAATAAGATTACAGTTTCAGACTTCTGATGAACTAATATAAAAGGAAGTGCCAATGTGGAATTAGAGAGCTTAGTAGCAGTATTATATGTATTATGTTACTAATACTACCATCATAATTTCTTAATAATTTATAATTTATATTTTAGAATTTAAATTTATTGTTAATAAAACAATTAACAAACTAGTTTTTACAATTATTATTACAGATTTATGAAAGTGTGATAAAAATTATTAAAAACTACTCTGTAACATATTACATAGTATTCAATATACTAGGGAATCCTAAACAGGTTAAATGGTTAATAGTAGGTAATTAAGAATTGATAATGTATTAGAAGCAAATTAATATAATAATAATCTATTAAAATATCATACAAATTGAAATACACTGTATGATATGGAAACAAGTTAAATGGCTAATAGCAAATGGAAATCGATAATGATCAGATGTCACATTAATCTTTTAGAAATATCAAACAAACGCTTCATGGTACATAAATAATTGACCAATGTATAATAACTCATTATTAGATTTACCAACTGTTCGTATGAGTAAGTAATAAGGCACATGAACAATAAATAATCATCAAAATCCACAAATTCAAGGAGTTAATAAATACAAACCAAGTCGAAAAATGTAGAAAAAGTGAAAAATGTGAAACTCAAAATTTATTTAACACTTGCATCATTTTACTAAAGTTCTTCTCCACAATATTACGGGGTCAGTTCACTTCTAGATAGAAATACAACATGGTTGTTATGGCAACCCTATGTTACTGACCAATCTTCATATGAGTAGGAAAAACTGTCGAAATGCTATGTATTTGACGGAATTTATTTTTAGATATTCATCCTTCAAAACGCACAAAGTCAAAAAAACAATGTTATCATAACCGCATCTTTTTGATGTATCATTGACAACACATAAGTGAAATTAGGTTTTCTGTGTAAAACGCATGGTCGCACAGCAAATTCATAACATTGTGACAGTTTTTACTACCAAGTACTGTAACTTAGTTGGTAAATCCAACAATGTAGACCACCAAAATTCAACCTCTTACTCATACATTACACAAGGAAGTAATAAAAATCTCTACATATTTGTGACTAGCATCTATATATAGTTCAAAAAGAATATTCCTCTCAATTACCCGGAAACGTAATCAAAAAGCAATCCTGTGTAATTTAACACTCAAATAATCTAACCCTTCTACGTACTTAAATTTTTTATCACTGTTTCGAAAACATTAAACGAGGCGAAGAGTACCATCATTCAACATATATTATACTTGACTTGGATGCATTTGTGAAGTGTTAAGTATATGGACATAGATAAAAACAGTCGCAGTCACATTATTTTATTCCTGTTATGGTTACATTAAACTAGATGACTCAATGCTTTATAATTTTGTTTTATTGAGTAAAACCGTTGGATGATTTTATTACTTGGAAACTGGGCGAAGATGTAATGGACAGAGTAGTAACTTGGGTTCATAAACAAATGAAGGTGTTTAAAGAAAATATCTAATAAATGCTTCCTGGACCGAGCAGTACAACTTAGATTTAGTAATTGTTCAAGCAAAAATATGGAACAAAAGGAAAAAAAATTGCCAACATCCAAATCCACAAATTCAAGAATTTATCAAAACACAAACCAACTTTTAGGCAGAAAAAAGTTACCAGCAGATTTATAAAGATAAGAATAAATCTAACATCAGATAATGTTTAACAGGCAATCTTCTTACCAGAAAGGACGACCTCTACACAAGATTCAATATGAGAAATAGATATCTTTTCTGATTATTGGTGAGCAAATTGCATATTTTTCAGAAGTATGCATATGAAATTATATATGACAAACTATGAGAAGATAATAAAAATTCATCTATTATTATTTTTCTATTTCTTAGACAATTTGTGGAACCAATAACACGATAATAAATTAATCTTAAATGGGTTCATTTTGATGACAAATATACCAAACAAAATCCTAAATAGACACCTATATGTACATATAATGTCATGCTTTTCTCATTTACTCTATATTTAGAACTATATTTGTCGTATGTCTGCCAAAAGATACATTGGTTTTATGTAGTCTTTCTATTTTCGAATTCTGTGATGACTCAGTTCATTTTATATCTATGTGGATTGAAATACGAATTTGATATATTTTTTGAAGAAATTATAAGGCTTTATATTGTTTTTAATGTTGAAGGAATAAGTCTCGTTGAGAGAAATATTGAGATAGAGACGATGACAACTTTGAGGTTGGATGGATAAACAGAAGATTTATTTTAAATTTCTATTCTTTTAAATAGATTGTGACAACTTTAATGAACATAAAACAACATAGTGTGATCCTAATTATTTTTTTTATTTTCTCAGGCCTGTGCACCTAGATATGTCTTCAGATCTAACACGATAACCAGTACAAGATCTAGTCAAGTCAACACAAGATCTAAGGAAGAAAAGCGAGATCCTGTTGGCACGTGCTACTTAGCCAAGAACAATTTTACTGAATTTGTTGAATTTTCACCTTGCAGAACAAGTAAGTGAAAAAAATATATTAAATTTATATCGGTATATAGAGAGAGGAGAGTAAGAACTACCAGTATTGGCCCGGCAGGTAAAGGATGGGACGAACCGCGATATATACATGTATGTAAAAAACATCATTCAAAATTGTTATATGATGTATTCATTTTCAACTTAAATGCTATCTCGTACAATAGCAAAAAAGTTTTACTTCAATCGCGTGTGAACCTAACGCGCACTCTTTCTTGAGATCTGCGTGAGTATTGCGAAATAAACAAAATATTCGGTTGCCTTTTAATTACTATTAATTTTTTTTACTATCGTTGACAAAGTTAAAATTAGACTAAATCGAGTACCATCTTTTAAAATAGTTCGAAACGTTTAAGTCCCTAATTCAGTGGATTTGTTTGTCGTCCCGCGGTTCGTCCCATCCTTTACCCGCCTGGGATATACTGGTAGTTGTTACTCTCCTCTCTCTCGACAGCCGCCGAGGAGCTAGAAATAGCCCGCTACCAGAGTTAGAAGTTAGCGTCATTCTGATTTGTAAACATACGAGTCGAGCGGGAATTCTTCTAATAAATGTTTACTGACCAAAAATATAAAATTCAATCCGTATAAAAATAAACTGCACTAAGAATAATATGAAGGATGATAGATGTATTCATAACAGTGAAAGTATCGGGTGGGGAAGATTTATCAATTGGATCTTAAAGACCAATGATAATACGTAGAATAAAACGTAGAATATTTCCAAATGTAATATTTTGAATTTAGTTTTATTATTCAGAAACATCTCTAAAATAGTGGCTGTTCGGACGTATTTTTATATAACTATATTGGCCTTCAAGAGAGCCATCTTCATGGCATTAAGCTTTTTATACAGAGTAGGACAGGCTTACTTTTCAATTCCAAAACGAAAGTCCACGTGGTAACATGAATTATAAATATCAAATATATACAATCTTCGAATCAATTAGAATCTAGCGACAAATCAGTAATTTTAATGAGAACTTGCAACAAATACATAAATTATTCAAAAAATCGGTGTTTTACGGTCACAGGTTACAAAGGTTGAAATATAACTTAACACTCTGAGACATTGTAAAAAGATTTTTTTATCGCCAGTTTTAAAATAATTAAAAATTTGTGTAAATTTTGTCATCACTCGATTAATAATAAATCTTATTCACCTATACATTAGTTTAACTTTTAATTAACTTATTCTGCGATTTGTTAATGAGAAAAATGAGCAGAAGTTGTTAATAACTAACATAATATTTTCTTAATTGGGAAAAATAGCCAATGCTAAAAATAATATATAAGAAAACCCATATATTACCAGTCTTAGATCAGACAAATAAGTCTTTTCTTATGTGCTAATATTGTAACGATGCAGCAATATTAACTAGTTGTGAGAAAATTTAACAATGAATATTTCGACTTTTATTTCATCATTAAAGAATATCCACTAAGGATATGTATGATGACGCATATCTTAAAAATGCAGTTAGTCTATCTAATTGTAATTAGTACAAATGATGAAATAAGATACAAAATTCTCATTTCATTAAATTCTATTACAATAAGAATTTTGTATCTTACTTCGTCATTAGGACTAAAATTGTACCCAACCCAAAGCAATTTTACCTAAAGCAGATTTGTAACTCTTTAAAATCATCTTTTCAAGTTATTATTTGACTTTTAAATATTTTATATCCTACAATATTATTTTCGGCAACACTTTTGAAAATACTTTCGATTTAAAATAAGAAACGTATGTGCATGCAAAACTTACCATTCTCGATGTGATCTGCAAAGAAAGAAAAAATGGATTAGAAAATGCTCAATTAATATTTATAATAATAATATTATTTTATAGTGTAAATTTTTTCTAAGAAAACTTGTCGCTGGCGTAACACATCGATTAGTTCAATATTACAATATTGTATATTTTTAAAAAATTAGTATACTGGTATTTTTTCTAGCTATTTTTCTAAATAACAAATCTCTAAATAACAATAATTAACATGTAAATTTAAGCTTAATTTTCTGTTATTGATTAAATTATGAAATATCAATATTATTCCAATTGCAATATATAGTCTTGTCAATTATCAATATTTTCATTTTTTAATTCACAATTACAAAATTATATTATATTAAATTGGTAGTGTTCTTTATTAATAAATTATGTAACCATGTAGAAGAATGTTCTACACGGGTATGTTTAAATAACGGACATTATTTTGTAGTCCTCCTCTGAGCTTAAAAGTTCAGTCACAAATCATCTTTTGACCTTATGGCACTAGAAAAAAATCCTTATATAAATTCAAAGAATTAACTTAATATAAAAAGTATAAAAAGCACGGCCGTGAAAATTAACTAAAATAACTGGTTCCAGTTCATAGTCAACCTTTGAATAAGATGAAACGAAGAAAGGGCCATCTGTGTTAATCAAACGGTGCGCGATGACACGTGCTCGCACAAAAAATAAAAAAATGTTAAAGGTATAAAGCAGAACTCACAGCAGGATGTTTATTGTATACAAGAGTTACCCTTCGTCTGTCTATGTGAGGTATATTTTAATAAAGATGTTGCCAGAAATGTAGGAGAATGAGAAATTTACTTCTATCTAAACTCATTGAAAGTTTCGTATAAGGCGCCATTTATTTAAAAAAAAATCCATTAACATTTTTATCTTCCCAAAAGAGAAGTTTATGTTTTCATAAAAAATCCGATTCGCCAATTTTATGTTTTCTCGACGTTTCAGCCATTCTGAATTGAATGAAACCAAATTTGGAAAAAGTATGTGTGTGTGTGAACAGATTTTTTGCCGTAAATCGATATTGGTTGAGAATCGTGCTGATTACTTTTTGGTAAAGATCAGCCGGGCCGTTTTCTTGTAATAAAGTGTTAATAAAATTTTTTCGTCAATTTTTATGATTCTTTTTGGTAGATACCATAGTCTTATAGGTCATACTGAAGTATCGCGGCTCTATAACAAATAGATTAATGTTGAAAATTCATCAAAGTTTGAGAAAATAGTCAAAATTTATGTCATAAGTTGCTTTTATGATGTGATGAGTCAAACATGATCAATTCATTAAAATTTAAAATAATAAGCTACAATTTTAGGGCATACAAGCACTATAATGTTTGTGCAATATAATTATTATAATTGCAGTTAATTTAAATGTGTTTGAAAAAATTCTATTCAAAATCGCAATGTTTAGATTTAATTGAAAGAGATAACTTTATTTTTGAAATAAACATTTAGAATTTTATCTAAATATCTAAATTTCAATTTCGATTGATCAAGTTATTTCTTACACATTTCCGGAAGTACACGCAACTTGCCTTAAGGCAAAATGCCACTTTCAACTAGTTAAATTGCAGCATCAATTTGGAATTAGCAATGAATTTTTATATTAAAAAAATGTTACCAACGTCTTTGAAATGCTAAATTTTCATATACCTGATAAACCTGATTAGAATCATGTATCTACAAATGTGCCTGAAGAAAAACGCTAGAAGTCATACGAGTATTACTCGCATCCATAATATTTCGAATTTATCCTATAATGAGGTAAAAAGAATGATTCTGAAAAGCAAATGATTCTGGATGGAACATTTTTTTAATTTCAAATTTCACGTTGATGCACCTTTTCAATCGTAAAGAAAAAAATAGCAAAAATAAAAAAGAATTTTGTATCATTTTATATGAAAAAAAAACAGCGTTGCCATATGATTATCTTACGGTAGAATTCGCCCATCAATTTCTCATTCCTCCGAATAATTATCCGAGAATTTATATACTCGTGAGTAAATATCGAAGTATAAAATGAAAATAAAAACTTCTTTGGTGGTGTACTTGCAGTATGCCGTTATTTATTTTCACAAGTTACTGTTTGTTTATTGTGCTTTATATAGTCAGGCCGTGTAGAAGGAAGGCACAGAATCATCAGATATACGATCCTGATTGTCTGACAAAATAGAAAGAGCGCCAATTGTAATATTTAAAAACAATAATTTTTTTTTTTAATATTTAAAATACATATGCCCGTATGTATATATGGAAGGTACGTGACGTAAGGTGTTGAGACTTGGCTTTGCAATTACATGGTAGCTACCCTTATATCAAGCAGTATTGATATCAGTATTCATTTAAAAACATACATAAACAAATTTGTTTTTATGTGAAACTACACCTTAGATACTACTATGTGCAAAAACATTAATCAAACATTGGATACGGATATAAAAATAATATTAGGATCTCATCTCATTTAATGTTGCCTTTCCCTCAGACAATATCAAGTGTGTATTTTGTAATTTAAAAAAACAGGATATTCTTCATAAAAACGTCTAACTTACTACTTTTATATATTTAATATCATTTTTGAGTAAAATGCCTTTTCACCACTCAAACAAGTTACAATCATGACAAGTTATCAAATGCACGTTCGTTCCAGAGGCTCTAAACTTATGGACCGTTAAACATAACAGTTTACAAACAATGGGACTTTGCACAATAATCGACAATGACCCTGGCTGATTATAATCACTTGTTTCAAATGGATTTTCAGAAATTTCTTTAAATTATTGCATTTTGCACTTGCAGCAAAATATGCAGAAGCTTGACAATGGAATTAATTGTGTTGATGAAGATTTAGCCACTTTTGCATTGTCTCCGAAAATAAAATATGAAGCCTGATGAAATTTATTTCAAGAGCTTAATGTTATTAGATGCTTCTTTGAAGTTTTTGCAATGTCAAGTGTTTTGTTCCCTGAAATCCTCTTTGTAGAGTACACAGAAGCTTTGGACGAAAATTTTAAGATTTTGTAAACAAAACTCCTTCCTGAAAAACTTAAGAAGGTTTGATAATTTATGGGGCTTGAAATTATTGAACTAAGATATTTTTGCTGTAAAAGTAAGATATTTTTACACTGATGATGAGATAATCACAGTGCTCAAAACGTTTGTAATTTAAATATTCATGAAATATATAAAAAATTTTAGA